TAGTCCAGTAAGCAGAGGTTTTTTACAGGAAAAAAATGTAGAATTTTTTTTCTCACTGGTTCTATATGTCTTTTGGGCTGCTGAATTCGAATCTGAAGTTTGCCACCTCGCCAGGCATGAGCTTCTCAAGGAAAATTGCAAAAACCTCATATTTTCGGCAGTTGTTCCAGTTTTTTAACTATAACTCGAAAACTAAGCGTTTTTGGTGAAAACTGTAATGTACCAAATTAAAGTAGACAAAATTTCCTATAAATACGTATAATAACTGTAAAGTCTGGAACAATCCATAACGTCGTTAGAGGGTGTTAAAAAAATGGAATTTCTTATCTTTTCGCTAAAAAGGTTTAAAAACGTTATTCTTCTAGCTAGTGCCCTACTATCAATTTCGTACACCTCCAAAATGAATTATTTTATGATTACTAGGTATATCCTAGTTACATTTCAATAAGGGCAAACGAGAGTGAGGCCTATAGGTCAACGAGCCTCCTAGCCCAAACCAAAATCGTACTACTTTCATTTTAAGGGGAATAATGTTTTGATAAAAGAAAACATATTGGAACAAATTTTTATTTACACAAAAAATAAAGCAAAAACACTATTTTTCTAAATTTTTATGTTCATTCGTCGTCGGCGTCCTCATCTGCAGAATTATCACCTAAAACAACGAAAATGGAGGCTTTAGATAACTATAATAAAATCAATGTCGTTCATGTCCATTACGGCCAGAATTTAATATGTCTTTGCACAATAGACTTTAATATTATTTATAAAAAAAAGATAAAACTGAAAATAAGATGGAGAAGAAGAAGTCATTACCTGCATAAAGCTCAGCATTGCGTTCGCAGATGATCCGTTTAGAAGGTCCAGGCTGTATCTCCGGAGCGACGTAATGTTTTCTCTTTAGCCCTTTCTGGTCAGTGGATTGCTCGAGTTCTTGAAGGATAGGCGCTGGTCTCTCTACTAAAAAAAAATTGTGATATTTTGATGTTGATCTGTGCAAGTATAGTCTCTTATTTACAGGATACATACTAGATTAGAATAATAATTACTTCCAATAGTATAAATTACCTTCGAGCTTCTCAGGTGAAACGTCTTCATCGTCATCACTCAGCATTATTTCTATATTAGAGCATCTTCCTTCACAATGCAGACACAGTCTGGAGCAGTATAACCCAACCCTTATACATCCGCAATTGCCCTTGCAACCTTTCTGGCACTTGCAGGCAATGAGTTTCAGAAGCTTCTCTGGAGCTGGGGGCTCAAGGGTCGTGATGGGAATCAAGTTGCCTTTAATAAGTTTCCATCCCCACTGCTCAGGTAGTTGAATATTCCCCAGCCACTGCTGTACTTGGTGAAATACCCTGTAACAGTGTTGTTGGGCTGCAGCTTTAGTGGGAGGGATGGACGCTACATTTCCGCTAACCTTAAATGCTGATGACACATACTGTTTGTAACGCAGCTTATTAATTGAAGTAGTGCGATGATCTCCGCCATACAAGGCCACTAGGAATTTTTCCCCTGCCTCCGAAATTTCTTCTGATGTGGCACGTGGGCTTCTGAATTGTCGAATGTAGACTGACAGATCAGGATACTTTGTAAGGGTTTTTATAAACTTGACTTTCCCTTGTTTGAACAGAGCAGATGTGGAGTCACAACCACTGACTGCATGTATGAATAGTATATGTTCTGCCAGGCATTTATCGATGGTACTTGAAGGATGGTAAACAGATGGAAGATGTTTGCCTTTTCCTGGTTTTAAAAAGTATACATTGGATGACGTCAGGGTTCCAATCATAATAACCAGGAGGTCTACATCCTCACCAACCACTACAACAGTTTCGTGCTCTTCAGCAAGAGATTGGGCTGTTTGCACAATCAGAGTGTCTGCATCTTCACTTGCTTGCTTCGTGTCAATTTGCGATGCACTCAGTTTCTGTAGAAGCATGCTAATGAATCTGCTTTTGTTGTAGGGATTAGACAAAAACTTTTCCTGGGGGACCGTGGGCACCATTTTGTCATTGAATTGGATGTCAACTGACTGAGTCATGGATCTTCTCATGCGCTCCATTTGTTTAGTTCCTCTTTGTGCGTCTGAGTAGCCGTCGAAGACTACTACTGCGGTTGATGTATATTTTTTCTTTAAGTATTCAATGTAGCTGTCACAAATTTGACCAAATGTCTTCTTTTCAGGCCACACAACTTTGTGTAGAAGAAATCCACCGTCAACAACATATTTGGGATGTTTATCCAATATAGATGTGTCAGGTTCTCCTCGAAAAGCTTTGTACAGTGTCGATTTTGTCCCTTTCCTCATTAGACCACCTTTCTTTTCGTCAAATAGGGCAAGTGGAAAGGGGCTCAGTTCGTATGTCAAGAACTCCTCGAGTTCCTCGTCTGACTCTTTAGCAATACTCATGCGTTGAAATAGGGTAGTTGGATTAACAACTACAGATTGATCATGAACTATTATTGAAGATTTCATGGTGGCAAGTGACAGCACCCTATCTCTTCGCTTAAACTTAACTGACTCAAAATTGTTGCCAGCAATTGCCAACATTTTGTCAATACACTTGACTCCTTCCTCCCTAGACAAGTGGCAATTTATTTTTTCATCACCCATGACCCCTGTGCTTAAAGAAATGAGCTCAGCTGTCTTCTGGAAGGGCGGGTGTTGGTGGAACCACTCCATCATTTTCTTTGCATCAATATTGTCTCGGGTTTGCGAGGATTCTCGAGTATCTATATGTTGCTCTGATGATGCAAAATCTATACCGCTAAATCGTTCCACAGCATCGCAAATCTTTCTGTACGTTGCCATTCCCAAAGTCCATCTTGACAGAATAGCGTCGCTGGTACCACGACCTCTAGTGAGCCCGCCAGAAGATTTCATATGCTTCATGAGCTCTTGCTCTATGCACATATCACTCCATGTTCCACAACGAAATTTATTGCTTCGCCGAATAGTGAACCCGCCTTGCAAAGTAAAAGCTTTGAATTCATTAGGGGGCATAGTGTTTTGTAGCTCCATCATATCCTGTAAATACAGGTGGCAGCACTTCGCATAGAGAAAATGTCCACTGGAATGGAAATAGGGAAGCATGTCATGAATGGTTTCCAGGTGTAAAGTCCAGTTGCCTGTTCTCTCTGCATCTATGAAAGTTAAAATTAGCGTGACCATTTGAAAGTACTGACTCCACAATTTGGCAGTGGGCCCTAAGTTTGTGAATTGTTCAAGCTTGTCTTTAAATTTTGAAACAAGCTCCTTAACACAATCCTTGTCATGTGCGCTCAAAATTTCCGATCGATCAGAGCAGTACAAAATTTGTTCAATTTCGGATTGAAATGAGGCAGAAAAATCTATTGTTTCCAATATTATTGAGGCCAGAGTCCTGTGAGCCAGCATGTGTGCTCTAACAGCCCTTGCATAGGCGTGACCTGTCAGCAATTTTTCAGTGCTAACAGCAGCGTAAATGAGGTTGAAAAGTTCCGATAATCCACTACCTTCCATTATGAAGCCCACAGCTCCCATAAAGGACATCAGTAAATGAAATCCACCCAGCCGTAGAATCACATGTTGCAGTTCGGGGTCTCCCTGACGACTTGCAATCACTTCCCGCGCCTTCAGGTAGAGTGGCTGATCGAAGGTAACAATAGTGCTTTGTTGGTTTAATGATTTTGATTTTTCAACACTACTCAGTAAAGCAGTGTAGATCGTGTTATAGTCGCTTGGTGGTGAATTAATGAATGGCTGGCAGTTAATATATGTAATGTCGTGAGGTTTATTTCTTGTTAAGTCTTCCATAAACCCATTCCACCCACCAATTCCTAGACGGTTCATATGTTTTCCATAGAGCCACAGCAAGTGTGATGCAGATGGGCTAACTAAACTTTTGTGACTGAAATTTAAAGTTAGAGGGTTGATTTGAATAGCAGCTAGGCCTGGCCCTGTCTTTTCAAACACTTTCACTGGAAGGGTTCCGAGACATCCAATAGTTTCTGCTGAAGGTAAATCCTTTAACCGGTCGATGTGTGGACTCGAGACAACAGCCGACTTTGGAGTGACACAAATGATGCCACCCATCGAATGGAATGTGTTGTGCCCATCAATAGTTCCGATGTTAAAGTCAGCGTTATCGTAAACAAATTGAGATAGTGCTTGTTTCCTAAGAGTTAGATGTGGTTCCAACATAGAGGACATTTCAAAACGTACGGCTTCTGTGTATGATGAACAAAATCCCAATGAACTTAGCACATCGATTAACCTTCGTGATCCGTACTTCTTGTACAAAAAAGTTGCAACGCCCACTTGCAAAGGAGATATATATGACTTTGGCCTTATGGCTGTGAGCAAGCAGTCGGCTATTGCAAGAGATTGCTTCTTCCATTTTTCGAAATTTCCTTTTTTCTTGCTCATTACTACAGCATCTGTAAAGGCTAGGAGAGATTCTGGAATTAGGTCGTTCAAATTATCTATAAAAGTATCTGATGAAGGGTACTGTGTCAAATTGTACACTTGAGAGCGTGCATCTTCAACAATTATAGCAGCTGCTGTTTCAACGATCCTTGTCCTTTCTTCTTTCTCTGACAACCTATTTTGATACCAAAAATCATTAATAATCTTGTGACCTGTGGACTTGAAACACACAATATAAGGCATATTGGCTGTTATACATATATCATCGCCATACTTCTCAAGGAGGCGCTGTTTTACTGTTCTTGGGTGAGGACGACAGTCACTTTCAATCTTATTTATTAGTTCTTCAATTGTAAACTGGCATTCTTCAGAACTATCTTCAATGTAATTGAAAATGCATTGCATTTCTTCATCCACATCATTTCTAGGCCTACCTTGTGTTTTTGTTTGTCTTTTGGGAAGGTATAGCTCTTTCATGCATAAAAAATGGTATTGAGCATCAGCAGCTGGCAAATCATGCACTGAACCTATACGAAGTAAAATAGCACGTCCGACTTCATCATTTCGATCTTTCAGCAGCCTCTCTATGTTTTTACCTACAGTAAATTGGGTCACAGGGTACACAGGATTACGGCGGTATGCTGGTTTTTTTATTTCTTTGTTTGAATAATCTGGTGGCACTTCCTCCCCACATATAAAACAGTGGGTTTTAAATGAGAATTGGGGAATATTGGAGCGAAGTGCAGATGAATTACTACTTTGTGTATTCCTCTTACGGGCAGCATTAATTAATTTTTGATTAGTATATCTTTTCCTACATTTTTCGTGAACCTCAACCTCTTTAGCAGTCTTATATCTATTAAACAAATCTATTTTACCATCCTCTCGACCTTTACTTGCTTCAATGAAACCTTCCAACCCCTTTTCCTTTACTATAGATGTCTGAGTTCCATCATCTAACGATTTGTCACATATTATACACTCGCGAGACATGTTCATTATTTTTCAGCGCACAAATAACACTCGTTTTATTGTTTTATTAACAGCACGGCACCGCTACACGAGACTAACTAAACTGTATGGAGTGGAAGACGGAAAACAGCAGGTAGTGTTTTTGGTTGGTGGAGGGGGGTACAATAATGTTTACTATCATTTATGGTATATTATACAGCGAAGTTTTTCAAGTTAAGTAAATGGATCCATAAAGGATCGTATACCTTCCTAGCAATATATTCAAAGGCTGCGGAAAATGTTTTTGGCATTTAAAAAAAAATGTTTTTCACGTTTTCCCTTATTGAAATGTAAGTAGGATATACCTAGTAATCATAAAATAATTCATTTTGGAGGTGTACGAAATTGATAGTAGGGCACTAGCTAGAAGAATAACGTTTTTAAACCTTTTTAGCGAAAAGATAAGAAATTCCATTTTTTTAACACCCTCTAACGACGTTATGGATTGTTCCAGACTTTACAGTTATTTATACGTATTTATAGGAAATTTTGTCTACTTTAATTTGGTACATTACAGTTTTCACCAAAAAACGCTTAGTTTTCGAGTTATAGTTAAAAAACTGGAAAAAGTGCCGAAAATATGAGGTTTTTGCAATTTTCCTTGAGAAGCTCATGCCTGGCAAGGTGGCAAACCTCAGATTCAGATTCAGCATATTAAAAAACATTAAAAAACCGATGAGAAAAAAACTTCTACATTTTTTTCCTAGAAACGCTGTTTCTGATCCTTGGATGACTGAACTAACAATCCACTGTGTGCGAGTGACACTTGAAAAATTCCGCAACCACGTTAGACAGTTATTGTAATTTGGTTCTTGACCGATTTTAGTTCTAACTTCGTAACTATCCACCACATTTTTTACGATTTTATAATTGGAATCAAAACGCTGTAAAGCCTCTTCAATTTCACCCATCATTCTATCACTAACAACTAAAATACAATATCTCAAAACCGTTGCAACAACAATGAGTACTGGATATGCACTAAGTGAATCATAGTTTTCGAAGAACTATTCATCATTCATCGGCAAAACGCGTGCATTTCCTTCTTTCGCAATAACAGCTGTTGTTGCGGTTTTCACATAGGCAACGGAGTACGTTGAAGTTCCTTCGTTGACTATGCGATTAGCGCTACTTCACTTTGACAGACGATATCAGGTAGCGATAAACATATAGTAATTGGAAAGCAGATTCATGCATTACATTTACTACGCGACTACCGCACCCCGTAGCGTTGATAGTATAGCAAACGGAAATATGCCAACCGTAGACATCGACATCCGAAAATAATTGAAAAATTGGATTCGTTCCACGCAACCAACTCATTGAGTACAGTATAGGCACCTTCACGAAATCAAATTTCATTAAATTATGGGTTGGAGTGTCTATGTGCTCAAATTAACATACATGAGGAGGTGATAATAAACTACCAATTCAAAGATCTGCAAAGAATTGCGGTTCACTCGACAAATATCAAATAATAAATAAAAAATTAACATTGCACAGCCTCGCATGTGCAGTTCAAGCGTCAAGATTTTCCTTGACTCAGGTGGCCAGAGCGATACGCTACCGAATGCAAAAAGAACGAAACTAATATCTTGAAAACTGTAGGAGTGAAGGCCTCGGACAGGACGGACGGACAGAGAAAGTGGAGCACCCAGCTTCGTTGGAAAATGCGCTAAAAACATTTATTCTAGTTTACATGAATCGTGAATTAACTGCTTAAATCAAGTGCACCACACAAACTGAACGACTGCAGCAAATTGCATATAATTTCCTACCGGAGCAAAGTAATACGGACAAGTGTGAACGAGTCCATAAGCTTTAATGTGTTTTAATAGACATCCGTTTTTTCACCGGCCCGGGGTGACGGATCGAAGTAGAACTCATCCGTTACTGCGCCGGTACCGGACCGATTTTTGACGGACGTTGATAGTGTGAAATACAACTTAGGCTATTTGCACACACACCGATTTTGGATGGTCGGCAAAAAATCGGCCGATATTTTATCGATAGCAGGTGCTTGCAGACATAACGGATTTTTACCGGTCAAACAATCAATTGCTTTGTTGTCGTGTCACGAGGTGATTGAATAATAATGAAACCTAGACGAGTTGTTGCTATGTGGTTATTGTATCGCCGCATAAAGCACCGTAGGATTAAGCGCAAGTGCTGGATTCATCCTATCAATCAAAGCAGAGAACGCACGGGAACATTCTACACTCTTTTTGAAGAACTAAGGCTTGATGACAGTAAATTTTTCAACTTCTTCAGAATGTCAATTGCATCCTTTGACGAGCTCCATGAGAAGTTGAAAAATGAAATCCAACACCAGAACACTAAAATGAGAAACTCTATTCCTTCACGAGAAAGGCTTGCTTTAACATTGAGGTAAGTATAAAATACGTATGTATATACACAATGCACTAAATTAGGTATTTAAAAAAAATATGAATATACCTATGTCCAAATTTGGTTCCAATCGCTTCAGCCGTTTAGCCGAAAATGAGAGTACAGACGGACTGACAGACCGACATCTTTGAGATTTTGTTTAATTCGGATTCCTGGTACTTAAAAACGTGTATTCCCGTAAAAAAAAGTGGGGTGTCATTTTTTACCCCAATGCAAAGTATAGTATTATATGGTTTTAAATTGATGGAAATATTTTCACAAGAACCCTAGTTTGCCAGTTTGGGGTACAAAGAACCATTCAAGAAAGTATGGAGAACAAATAAACACACAATATTAATTTCATTTTATTGTACATTTTAGATTTTACATTGTACATTGATATATTCTTTGCAAAGTAAATAAAACTTTAACCAAGTTGTATTTAAGTAAAGTCATAGGTAGTATCTGAATACACAGATCCACCTGGGGAGGGGCTCGCCGATGGGCAGGTCTCTGTCTCTGGAGACGTGGCGGCTGAAATGTGGCCAAAATCTTGATAGTATTGTGCAGTGGTTTGTTCTTGTTGACGTTCAAGTGTGTGTGCTTTCGAAGAGCATGCCTGCTGGTGGTTTGAATCGATATTATTGGCATTTTGTGGATTTTTGAATTGGTAGGTTTGGGGATTTGGGTACTGATGCGTTTGGGGCTGTTGTGGTTGAAAGCTGTTAATTGCGCTGAATTGATTGGAATAAGATTGTGATGGGGGAAACTGTTGATACTCCGGGAAAGAATAGTTGTTATTGGGATAGTAGGAAGGTGTTTGCGGTGGAAATACTTGGGGTCGAGGTTGAGCAGTGTTTTGGCGTTTGTTGTTTATTTTAGAAATTACTTCCAAAACACCCATTTGGAATTCAAGAATTTCACTGTCACCGAACTTGTTCAAATGAGGCAAAAGTCCTTGAATAAACGAAATATGAGGACTAGGTGCTGGTTCTTCTAACGCTTTCATCATTTTTAGCTCAACCTCGTCAGGCCGGCGACGTCTTTTATATTCTTGCGGTTTAGGATTGGGGTTCTCACAGATCGTCTCTTTGCGGGGTAGTGGGGCTTCGAGTGGATTATAAACATCTTTGTTTTCATTGTCGTCTGTTCTATCTTCCAAACTTTCTACAACTTCCCTCGACTGGATCAATTTATTTAAAAATTGCATTTGGTCAGCGTAGACGTATTTTTTAATTTTGGCGGCACCAGCTCCACTCTTCTTAGACTCTTTTAGCTTTCTCTTCGACTTCGTGAATGCATCCCGAAGATTGCCCCATCTCTTTGTTACTTCTTTTCCTGTAACAATTAAATCTAAATAGTATTTTGAATTGTAAACCTCTTCATAAGGCACCAATGAAGGATTTATATATGGAATTTCTTTACTCATTGTGGTATGGGCTAACAATGCATATAATTTTTATGAAAAATTCTGTCTACGAGGCCGATTTTGGCATTATTTATTGAATAGACTACATAATGCTACTAAGCCTTCTTTTTCAGATATCTTGCGAGTGGGTGCACCTTTACGGACCTACACGATTCCTTCAAAGTTGGGATTTCTACTGCAAGGAAAATAGTAAAAGAAGTATGCCAAGCCATCTGGTTAGTAATCAGTGTATAACTGAACTCTCTAAAAATTATCTTGCAAACTTTGCTTCTGATTTTGAAAAAAATGCGAACTTTCCACATTGCATAGGCGCGGTCGATGGGAAGCACATTCGCATAACTTGTCCGATAAGAAGTGGTTCCATGTTTTTTAATTACAAAGACTATTACTCTGTAGTATTAATGGCAGTAGCTGATTCAAAATATCGTTATATTTATGTTAGTGTTGGAAGCTTTGGCAAAGATTGCGATCCCTCTATTTTCAAGCAATCTACTCTTTGGCAATCGATACTGACAAACGCATTACAATTACCTGAAGAAAAATGCCTGCCGGGGACAGAATCTCCTAAAGTTCCTTACTACTTTGTTGGAGACGAAGCGTTTGGTCTTCACACTCATTTTGCAGTTGACATTGTAAAAGCGTGCATTGTTCTGCACAATTTTGTTCGTGACCGGGACGGTTATTTTGTAACAAATATCGGAGCAGTTCCCTGGCAAATGAGTAAGATATGACATGAGTTTCACTTTGGTGAGATTGTTGTTTACTATTCTAGCCATATATTATATTCCAAAGTTTTAAGATAAATAAAATATGACATACATGAAACTACTTACCAAATGCATTTTTTTCTTTATTCTCCATCTCCTCAAAATTGTTTTTCAGAACACAACAAACTTCTCTCCATGCATCCCTGGTAAGATTCCTATCTTTAAATGAGTCCAAAGTTTTATCCCACAAAACAGGCCTTGCCTCCACTAACGAAATAAGGACATCATTGTCTATTAAGTCACCCATTGCAGCAAACGCAATTAAAACGTACTGCACGAACTAGCACTCACTACCAATGCAGTCCTATATATCAACAGAGCACTCGGCTGGAATTAAAGATGGCGATTGCAAGAACTGCTGAGGACGGTCGGTAAACAATCGGTGCATGTGCAAGCGTGTATTTAGTCACGTAGGTCACTGTGTCGCCGGTGCTTCTCCGGCATCGGCGATATACAGTGGCAGTGGCCGGCTGCTCGCCGGCATTTTACCGGCACCGATCAGAGGCCGGCGTATGTGCCAGGTCCCGTTCCCCTCCGTGGTTCACTATTGGAATTTGGACGACCGGTAAAAAATCGGCCGTCCAAAATCGGTGTGTGTGCAAATAGCCTAAGGTTGCTTCGTAACATTAGAGAGACGCGTCATCGAGAATCCGGAAGTTCCATTTGATTTTTCGTTGACTTTGACAGCTATATTTGAACTGTGTAAGTACTTAATTGTCAGACAGTGCTGAAGAATTTATTACGAATACTTATTATAATTCGATTGAATACTTACTGTTTCTTAAGTAGGTATCAATATAGGG